CAAGGGTTATTAGGTGCGATGATGCAATACACAAAAATCTACTAAAATAATGACGACAATTTCCACGGAGAGACAGCCATCTTAAACAAGCATCTATGTATATAATAAAAAAATTCGATGGAGATAATAGTGCGGTAGTTTTGATTTAACATCTATTTCATAATTAAACCAACTTATTTTATCATTATGTTGGCTGGAATAAAGTAAACAGATTAAAAACTGCGCTGGCTACTAGGTACACGTCATATTTTTATTACCTTTTAATTTTTATAACGAAAATATATTAGTATATTTATTTCGTTTAGTGTTTTGTTGAGTAATTCAGTTATTGTAATTTTGTACATTGTTATTAATTATATTTATTGTWTATTCAAACTTTCAAACATAAATCTAATATTTTTATTTATTGCTTTCAGTCAATTTTTTGTTTAAATAGTTGTTTTACGAAAATTTATTTCAATGTTTTCTTATTCAGTTATTAGTAGGTAGGGAATTATTTTTCAGATACAAGAAATCTGAAATTTATTGAAATAAGACACGATTATAATTCAGATGTATTGGTTTTTCTAAATACCTATACAAATCAAGCTATAGTTATAACTTATTATATTCAAACAATTTAAACTGGATTAAAAATGGTATGTGAATAAAATTTAAATCAAATAACTAACTTTATAAAGCTTTGCATGATAAAAGAAAAAAAAATATTGATGGTGATAATATAGTGGTAGTAAGTTTAGTTTAATTTATTTTATTTTTAGAAATAATTTTTTTATTTACTTTTATTATTAAGGCTTCAAATACTTAGTTTATTAGACTACAATTGTTACATACACGTTGTTACATTTAAAAAATTTAATTTTTGGAAATTATTTTTTTTTTAAATTTTAACTAGTCGCTTGGAGTTATCGTTGATCCGTGGTCCTATATATTCGATGTGAGCTCAGTAATCTTGATGAAATAGATTATTATTTTTTCTAGTCGGCAATGCTTCTTTGAGTGAGGCRTTGTTTATATTTGACTGTGTTCGAGCTTTCGGTCTCCTTACACATTAAATGGGAATGTGTGAGTCTAGTATGCCCAATGCGTACTCTGCAGGTAAACCATGATTTCCTCGTATCGTGTGAGTTTGATTACTGAATTTGGTCATTTTTTGATACATAGTTTTATTTGTTATTGTTTATTTATTTATTTATTAGAGTTTATTGTTGGTTTGTTTTTCCCAGAAATAATATTATTAACTGTAATTTATAACAATTAGCTAAAATTAATATAGAATTACTCTAGATATAGTATATAATATATTAGCTACATAATATTAAATTTGTTATATAATGTATAATCTAAATTATGTACCTATAGCTAGAAATATAATATATACTACCGTGTTAAATTCAGTAGACAACTWATATGCATACATTTCGTATTTATTTTATGTATAGAATACATGTATTTTGTAATTATTTTCTTTTGTCTGGCTTTAGTCTCGTTTTAACGACTATACCGATGGCGATATCCACGTCTTGAATTTAATACGGTACAGGGGACATTGGGAGAATTGCGGTTAGCGAAAGAAACATTATTAAATCTATACAAGTCTTAATAGTTATATTTAACTGCATAATTATATTGTCTAAAATAATGTATAACATAGTAAATCTCCTACGGTTACTCAGTTTCTCTAGCTCATTATCGTTGGCCGGCAGTTCACTCCCATTTTCCTCTTTGTGGAATAGGCCTACATGGGGACACCACATTAAAAAAAACGCGCCTTTTGCAATACCTCATGTGATATTAAACACGACATAGATTGTCATCGTTTAATAAGCTAAGGTGGTGTGGAAACTTGCAATGCATTACTACAGTCTGCAGTAGTAAATATGCCAAAATTACCAAAATAAATATTCATGGTTTTTACTATAGAGAATATAATCTTATAATGTATTATATTGTACAGTTGTTGTAGTAATAATATTTATCAACACTACTAACTAGTTTTCTTTAATTTAATTTACATATTATTAATTATTATATAAGGTATTTATGTATATACGATTCGTTGATCGTTCTCAGATGAATTGAGAACCTATATATTTGTCAAATTGTTCAATAATATAATATAATGTATTAAAATATTATGTAGTCCTATAGCAGCTACAATATATTATATATATTATATAGGTAGGTACGATATATACCTTTTAAGTTCAATGTTTCAGAAAAATATATAATTTATTAGTGTGATGGACGAGGTTCAGGGACATAGCAAGAATCAGTAGCGCCCCCGATAGAAAACTGTATTTGCGCCCACTTTTACCAATTTTTTAAACTATCATATTTGGATTGAGAACGCCAAACTCAATGAAATACCGCCTATCGTATAACTGCACCCCCRCCAAATGCCCTCTTKCTAGTCCTTYTAGTCGGCCTTAACGAGGTTAACCTGCAATAAGTTAAAAGTGTTGACAATCTACACAATGTTTATTTCTATATTAACCTTTATTATTAAAATAGTAATAAGGACTATTACGTATAGTTAATGAGAAGTTACAAAGAGTTGAAATAGATCGTAATCTCGTGGTTGTGCTATACGATTATTAATTCGATAAATTACAAATATACTCAAAATGTTGATGAATTTTAATTTTGAAATAAAATCACATGAAAAATCTGCTGTAAAAAAATACAATGACAAAAAAAAAATCCATTTTTTGTGATGAAACTCAAAATAATGATTTAGTTACTTCTGGAAAAGAAAATTTTTAAATATTAATACCTTTTTAGTTATTTTAGATCGTCTATTGATTAAACTTAACAAGATGAGAATAGCATATCACAATATTTATGTAAGTCATTTGATTTTTCTGGCGAGCTTGAAAGTCTAATCACATATGATGATATAGATTTTAATAAATTAATAAATGTCCATGTTTAAAAGCACACATAATACAACTGGTTATGATAATAAAAAAAAATATTCCCAAACTTCTTCAAACTTCACATAAAAAACTTGATTTCAATTATATATCCCTGCAATATCGAAGTAGTACTAAAAATAAATACTTCTACTGATGTAACTATCTAGTTATTTAGCTATAAACGCTTTTTTTCTTGCTTGAAAATAATAAAAGATTATCTTTGATCTACGTGGATGTCACAGGATCGATTAAACACACTTGTCATATTAAGTATTGAACATGAATTTAATGATTAGATATCAAAAGACGACATCATAGAAGACTGCAGCTAAAAAAAATTAAGACGTACGACTAGGTATTTACCAAGCAGTGAATAATACGAGCAATATAATAAATTTATAAATACTTGTACGCATTTCTTTTTTTTAAGTTTTCTTTATAGTAGTTTTAATTTATTAAAATACCTATGTAAAAATAAAGTATTTATTTTGTATTTTTATTTAATTAATGATAATTTTTAAAATATGGGGTGTGATGATGGTCTATTCGCTTTTAAGAGTAAAATACCAATATGTTAATTAGGGAGTAAATTTATTTCAGCCTGTAAGTAGTAAAAACCTTAATCTGGCCCTGTATGGCAATATCATTGATTATAAATTAATAGCTATTATATATAGTGTACCTACTAATCAATGCCAATACGCACCGTCCAGACGTCCATTGCAGGCTTACACTCTACACTGTAATATTATATAATCCTGCATTATTTAAAATAATATTATATTTTATAATACACTTTAATAGTAACTTATTTATTACCTATATTAACTAATTACATATGTAACCAGAACACAACGTTTCAGTCTTGGTATATATAATGACGAATAACAATAATGTCCAATAAATTATGAAATTATATATGTATACCTATATAGACTATATAGGTTTATAAATCAAGTAAAACTTCAAAACCAACTAATATTCAATAATATGTTTATTATAGCTACTTATTTTTATTTAGTTTATTTGGTAGGCACTATTTGGGTAAGTAATTCTAAGATATTGATATAGGTAAATGATTTTGCATAATTATTATAGAAATAAAGTTTAAAATAAAATATTAACGTATAACATGAAATAAGTATAAGCTCATCAAATTTTATAACATTCACTAAATCGTAAAACTAAAAAATGAAATTAATAAAATATAATCATCACGTATAACGACCATAGAAAGTATAACACAAAGATTAAACAGTATAGGCACGAAGTCCGACAACGACCTAGTGACGACCGTTTGAAGCGAAATAAGTAAAAAAAAAAAGGCTGAATAGTTGAAAAATAGATGTAGACAAAGGCCATAAAATTAAAAATATTTTTGAAAAAACTAATTTATTATTAGGATTTATATTTTACTTAAATACGAGTCAGTTTACCTTTAAATCATCCAATAACATCACCCGCACTTACCTAAATTAAAAATCGAGAAGTAAACTCGTCCATACTAAACGCTGATAGAAATGATCGGTGATCAAATACCAAATCTGACCCATGGGCCATGAGCCCATGACACCCCTATCGTGGGGTAGTTGCGTCATTATAACCCTAGAGGTTTGGCCTATCTAGAAAAGCAGTTCAGAAAAATACGTCTTCAGATAACAGTTTCTAGAGTCTAGAYGCAACCAGAAACGCGTACCTTAAACCAACAAACTTTTAAATTATGMCTGAACAAGTTAACAATATATGTATAATAATAATCAATAATATCAAATATCAATATCAGTAACCAAAAATTGTATACTCGCACTTCGATCAATGCGCTTGCAATTACTCATATAATATATACACACTCACAATTCCAYAAGGAAAAATAAAAAATACAAGTAAAAAATCTGTTAATAATAAATATCTATACCTACAACCTACATGGTTACAAATATAGACCACATCATAAATGTATTAATTGAAAAATTATACAATTTTATAAGACGTGATTTTAGGTTGATTTATTTATCTAACTATACAAGCATAAAATTATAAAAAATAATAATAAATAATCTATATTTTTATATCTTAATGGCTTTATTCCGTATAAATAATTAATTATTGCTAGGCAAATGAGACGATAGTGAGAATAATTAAGTGTAATAGGTAAATATTGTTTCAATATTACAAAAAGTTCAGTTGTACATATCATATTATAAAATATAATATTATTTTTGGTAGTAGGTACCGATAAAAACATCATATTTTTTCATACTCTTCATCATGAACAATTGAACACTTGCAATAAAATGCTAAAAATACGGCAAATATCTGAAATCAAAAATTCGTAATCATTATTATGATATCGGTCTGTTTTCGCAAGTCACAYCGAAAATCTTTRTGATTATAGTTAGGTCTTAGGTATCTATATTAGATAATTTTATGATAAMATTTATAAATAATAATACACTCGCGCGATCAGTGATATAATGTGAACCTGCATGGGTAGTTCCATAGACTTGGTAGTGAGAGGGGGGGCTAAGTCGCTAAGTCGTAATTTTCAGAAAACTTTCGATAGGTAGTACCTATTATATATTTTTTGTAATTAAGTTTTTGACAATACACCTGTTCCGTAAAGATTTACCCATTGTGATATCTCCCAAAATAATGGAGATATTGAAATTCTGGTTTTGTAATAAGATGGCTCACAGGGATAAGCATTACAATTATTTCAAATTTTAATTTATTTTGATGTTATGGTAAAAAAGTTAAAAAATATATTTTWTTTATTTWATTATTTCCAATAAAAATTGACTACAGTCATTTTGTAGAGTTTATTTTTCTGAAAATATTTACGTTTCAAAAATTTATTTTCATTAATTTCCTGATTTTTAATTTCGAGAAACAACACCACAGAGTTATGTGACCCGTCGCACATACACGCGTTCTAGTATACGTCTGCCCGAACACTTTCAGTGTGCCTAGTTATAATCATATTTTATTTYTTCAAAACTAGAAAAAAATATTAAAAATTAGTAAATTAAAGAAAATACAATTTTGAAAGGTCAATATTTTCAAAAAAAAAAAAGATAAACTCTACAAAATGGCTCTTTTTTTTGAAAATAATTAAATAAAAAAATATATTTTTTACATTTTTTACCAATRCATTAAAATAAATTTAAATGGGTAAATCCTTGCGGGACACAGTGCATATCATATTTTAGAAATACGGGTTTGGTGGTGGGGGGGGGGTGGTTCCCTTCTGGAGTCACTCCAAATGTGACCTCTCATCTAACGGTTGTGAATAGTTCTTAAATGACAGTATAATATAATATATAGTTTCTAGAAATACCTGAATTAAAGCGAATCCTATAGCGGACCAAAATATTATTTGGCTATTTTGCTGAAGATTGGTCTTGAACTTTTCAAAGCAGCCGATTGTGTACGAATTGATTTCCGTGCAAGATTGATCGATTTGGATTGCGTAACAACAAGACGCAGGCAATTCACCGGTGCCCGTAACCGATTTCCAATCTTTTGGTCCTTCAATTCCGCAACATTCGATCTTAAAACGAGAATTATTATATTAAGTACGAAAAACCAACTAAATTAAGTAGACAATAATAATATATTTACAATAAGACCGCCTTGTCGTGTAATATTACTTTTAACATGTGTTTAGCGAACTTATGCAATTTTAACCAAAGCTGATCATTGTTCTCAGGGATTGTGGAGGGTTCTAATTCCGTGATTTAAGCAATCAAGTGTTCGTATAACGTGCATCATCTAAAGCGAGGGACAATGCCCCATTTCCGGATGGTCTAGGATTCAACTGTTTAAGCTTTTGTGATGTTTTATTTGTCAATCAATAACAGTTTATACATTTATCTAGCTTCTTAACACATGAAAACGGATACTTAGATGTAATGAATGTGTTGAACAATATTATTTATTGTATGTTTTAGTAGCATTTATATTCGTTGATTTTTTTTTCATAAGTATACGAAAATATAATCTTTAAAAATCGTCAAGTAAAAATAAAATTCAAATTTATGATTGGTAAACCACAGCTGTAGTTTTAAAATATAGGAACTAAATAAGCATTAAAGTTTTCTTTTTCAGTGGAATTCAGGGAGGAACAGCCTAATTATYAGCCTAATAAACGTTAAAGTGAGTAGTTTTATTAATATTTATGTTAATAAGAACATATAATATGTTTTAAGCATTTTTAAAGCATAAAAACATTTAATTTTTATTATTTTAAAGTACATCAAAATATGACCTTTATAAAGTATAGTAATTAAAATATGATATCATTGTTATGTCATTAAACTTACATTAGATTGTAATACATTCCAGGACTGTCTAGTGGCTTCGTGTTCCGTTTTATTGTACGCGCTGATCGTGTATTCCATTTGTTTCAAAGCATAATGTTCCATGTCACTACGCATATGATAAACAACACCACCCAATAGAAATTCTCCAATCAAGAGGATTGCGAGCAGCATAGACACCTATAATATAATATATTGTTATGCATAAAATTACGCACGGGTAAACATAAAAATGTTTAGGTATTCAAATATTAATTCATAATATTGTGTAATTAGTAGTGTATGCACTTGTCACTTATACAGATGCTTTTTTTTTTATTATTGAGAATAAGGCTTCAACAGCTGGGTCATTAGCCTTCGGTTGTAGATACAATATTATTAATGGATACTTTAGTTATGATTGTATGTTACATATTAGTATATTACAGATTAAGTGATATACAGTATTCAAGCACGCCCGCAGGATAAAATCCCACCCAGGGCAAGATCAAAATTCTAAAACCAAATCAAAAAGATTATTTTAAATTTTAATATATTTCTAGTGTATTTTCATTCTAAAATAGCATAGCCTAAATAGGAAAACACAACACTATGTCATAATTTAAGTCCCATATATGTGTATATATGTGTATATATGTTTACAATTCAATATTATTATTTTAATGTTACAAATTAATTATATTTATATTAATTATCAAATAAAAGTTGTATGCGTCTTGGTTGCATACAAAATAATTGTAAAACGTCTTCAATAATTTTTTGTTTTTGCTTTCTAACAACGTCTTTAATATGTGTGGCATTAAATTAACAATAGTTTTAAAATATTCCCAGTAGGGGTAATACCCCTTTTGCCCCTCCCCCTGCGGGCGCCCTTGACAGTTTTATATATTTACATTACATTTGGTATGCGTAGATTYAGCTTAACACGATACAGATACTGTCTTCGTGTTTTTCATACATATTTTATACCCGTTTTCTAATTGTTTAATCACTATAATTTTAATACACTACTATACATATGATATAATAAATAAAGTTTAAACTTCTCTACCAACTTTTGTCAAAACTCGGAGACCTCGAGACCTATATTTTAAACATCTAATGAAAATTAGAATTTTAGCTTTATCTCGATGGATTTTTAAGAAACACGAAAACRCATAYTTTAATTYTAATCAAACCAAAAGTACTTTTCATCATGGGCACAATTAGGAGGGDGCTAAAGGGTCTTTAGCACCCCCGAGTGCTTATAAATATTAATATCTAGAGATAAATACCATACATTTTTTGTTTTTAAATATTAAATAATTACCGGAAACAATCCAAACTATTTTGGTCATCATATTAATTCTTTATAAATGATTACGTATTTCTATAATTCACGGATGGTTAACATTACGAAACAATGAAACATATTATTKGAAAACGAATTGCTTACGAGCAATTTTTAGCCAATAATAGTTTCGATCAAAACWGTTAACTGTCGTGTGTCTGTGTAATACTGGTAATATCCTAGAAGTTATTTCGGTAGGTATCTAAAATTCTAATAATCTAATAACATTAAATAATACAAAGTGTTTATAATATATATTCTGTTTTCATCCTTAATGTATGAAATGTGTAAAAATGTGTAGGTACATAAAGTTTTAAATATTGATTATTTTAGATTTGTAACTTGTAAGATCATTTTATTATTATTTTGATAATAGGTAGAGGTACAAAGCCCACCAAGGCTTTTAGAGGCATTTACAATTATTATAGTACCTTATATTTTAGAGGTCTATTTGCGCCTGTGGGCACCCCAATAGTGTTATATTTATATATTAATGAGTTAAGTATTTCAATGACTAATGACTATTAGTGGCCATAGTGTGAACTACGACACAGTGTGTTCGCGCTGTTGTCTCAAATATTATGTAACCCTGACAAATAAAAGTATATTCTGCACCTATAAGTTGTCATAGAAACATTATTCACTCTTGTTAATACCTATTCAGGCTTTATGGTTTTTTTTAACTGGACAGAAACAATTTATGTTATACTGACTTTAGGGGCCTTTGTACGCTCCCTTCCCACATCCGAGATAATGTWTATTCTATTTTGAACTAAATTAAATTGAATATCAAAATATATGACTTTCACGTACATAATTTATTCAAATCACTTAATAATTATTAATGAATTTTTTTAAGTATTCCAWAAATATAATGATAATATCTAAAATAAATATAAAAATTGTATAAACTTATKTTTAATGCGGAATTTGAGCTTTTATTTGGTTCATTAATAATGAAAAATCTAATTGGAATTTAGTTGTATTATTATTGTATTTATATTTTGTATATCACTAGTTTTTATAATTTCTTGTTAGAAATACTTGCAGTGCAATCAAGCTTACGACACAGTGATTTACCTGAATTGAGCGTTCACGGCCTGACACACTACGGCAGTAAACTATTATTCAGTAATTCGGGGATAAGCTAATCGATTTTAAATTCTATATGTATGGGTATACCCGATATAGGTACACAAAAGTTGTAGTWAACTCTGTTTATTATTTAATTAAATCATTCCTTCCTAGGAACTTATTTCGAACATTCTTCCTACATCATACACAAGTGGTAAGTGGTAAGTGACAATACAAATTCTTATTCAGATATTAATGTTACCAATGCTGTGCACTAATTTAATATTGTTGATTATTGATGTTTAAAACTTTTGTGAGACGTACCTAATTTGTTTACATTATAAAATGAGATAATATTAYATAAGTAGGTACCAWTCTTAAAAAGTGAAAACACATTAATGTAACATTATAAAATGTTAATGAAATTAATAATTTATCTATTGTTATGCAACCCGTCATTATTAGAAGTATTTATAGAACTTAATAGTAGGTATCAATAGTATTTATAGGTACCTATTGGCTATTAACTACAAAATAATGTAATTATTACACTATTAAAATAATTGTTTTAAATTAATTAATGTTTTTTTTTTTTTAAATCGTTTGAACGAGTAATATTTTTCAATCAAAAGTTGGCTGGTAATAAGGCGCTATTGAATTTTTCTTTTTATATTTTTATTATCATATTATCTCAGTCATATGTCAAATACACTATTCATATGTTAATTCGCCCAAAGTATCTTTCACTTGCTCGAAACCATTTTTTTTTTTGAATAATTGAAAAAAACATGGGTTATTTTTTTTAAATTCACACAATTTCAATAAAAATATCGTCCTTCAAAATCACACACTTTTATTTTTTATATATCAATTCCGCACAGTTTTCCCAAAATTATACCGTTAAATTCCACACGTATGAYGTATTGATATTTTTCAATAACACACACATTTATCTAAAATTACATTAGCTATAATTTAGAATCGCAAACCAGTTCAAATTCAAATTGAATTCAATCAAAATTAATATAATAAATACAACTTTCGGGATTTTCTTTTAAGTGATCGTTTTATAAGCAATGAAATAACTTTAGACTATTTGAAAACAATAATATGTAAATTCATTTCATCTAAGCTTTAAACATTAATTTTTTTTTTGCTAAACATTTTTTTTTAAATCATATTATATCGGATTAATTATAAATAAAATAATATTTAGTTAATTTTAAAATTATAAAATATTCCTATATATAAAATAATTTTTACAACGATTTATTTGATATCATACAATTTTTTATTTTTAACTGTCAATCAAATGTGTGTGGTTATGAATTATTGACCTTCSRAATACCATTTTTAACAATATACAAAATATGTATGGTATTCAACGGTGTAAAATGTGGGATTTTGAATGGTAAGTGTGTGGTTTTGAACGACGCCCTCACAATAATTATATAATTTATTTACACATACCATAGTCTATATTTTGGTAATTATTGTAATTTTTTTTAAGTATAAGTAATTTATTGTAAGTATACAAGAAAATAAACTTTTTTTAATCAACTGAAAAATTACTTCGAACAAAACAATTTATTATATTGTTAAAATATGATGAATATTAAATTACATAATTTATGTTGTATATAATAATGGGTTTAAATACGATTGATGTAAAGGCGGTGTTGCGTTCTGATCAACATACATAACACTTTTTATTTGATGTGTGTCAACTTACCTCTGTAGTAAACTTGCCGCGGTATCTACTACATAGACGGTGCATGCAACCCATGGTTGTATTATTTATTAATTTAGTACTTTTATGTTAAATTAATTTAATTGAAAAGAGAGGGCCCCCCCTCCCAGGCAGAACCCTACGGGTGCCCATTCGAAATTCTGCCAAACATCCAAGTGTTCCAACCAACAGTTCCCTTCCCCAGAATTCCACAGGCTAATGAGTAATGAMACTTGCTGTCGATGCCTCAACCCCAATAAAAAAAGAGAAAAATTAATTTGAAAACATTTCAACTACAATTATTCAAGTATGACTAATTAATTCTATGCAGTTAAATAAATAGCATATAAAAATTARTCTTGTATTTTAATAATTTAACTTTGTTGCAACTTTTCGTAATTAAATTAGCCAGCATTTGTATTTAAGAGTGCATATTCTATTATGTTAATGTTAGAAGGTTATAAGATTATCATTTCACTTTTAATATTAACGCCTAGAGACATACCGCTTGAACGATTAATAATTAATTACCATGCCTTAAAACGATTTAATTTGATTTTCGGCATTAATTGTCTACAACTCAAGTTATAAGTCACATGATAGGATAAACACCTACCAGAAGTAATCGATATTTTATGTTTTTGAGTGTACCACACATACAGATGACGACGATGGCAATGACTAGAAGAGCGAGACCAACGGCGGTCAGTACTTGAGGCACTGTGGTCAGTTCCGAATCAACAAACCCTGACCATTTGTACAACTTTTTGTCCATGAAGTACGCGATCCACAAAATACCGATGCCTGATATCTGCAGTCCGAACACATGAAAAAAAAAAGGCTCATAATATTAATAATTACACGAATAATTTTTAAAACATATAGTACTATTGTTTATTCTATAACACAACTACTAACTAAAAGAAAAAGATTAGACACACTACGTTACAAACACATATTTTGGTATTTATAATGTATTGTAATATAAAATCAGTGCATGCCTGAAGACTGCACAGCTCAAATGTTCGTAAATCGCAATATTATWATATAATATTATACTGTTATATAGACTATTATACTATAAAATATAGAATTAGAATTAGATACTCACGAAACAAAACAGATTGAAAAACTGGAACACGAACTTGCTTAGAACCTTGCTGATGGACATTTTTGATATATTCTTATATTCTATCCGATAGACGATAACGARTAAGTATGTATTGGTTTTTAAAAAAATCAAAAAGATAATATTTATATTACAGTTTATGCATCAACGTATCATAGAAGAATAAGAAGAAACGTAGACGACACGATATCGTTAGGTAATGGCTGCCACCAAACATAAAAAGTTCTACTCTAAAGATTAAAGACAACAACAATAATAAATTACATATAATAATGGCAACGGTTCAGATAAATATGAGTTCAAAGTTCAGACCATCAATAAACAACGATAACAATTAAAAATAGTCTATAATTAATAAAATCCGGGAATTGAGAGGTAAATTATATATAATATATCAAGCTATTAAGAAGGGGCCCTAATATTTTAGGCTTTTTTTTTACCTTTAGCGAGATTTTAAAATTATAGTTGGACACTAAAATTGGAATTTATTAAATAATAATTGGAAATAATACCTAAAATAACACGGTAATTAGGCTGTGTAGTGTAAATTTGCATTACCTACACTAACTTGGGTAGAGAAAAAATTAACAAAAATAATATAAATATTGTTATTTAATTGTAATGAGCAACATAATAGATTAGATATTAAGTATTGATAGTTGGTTTTGTTAAGTTATGACTGTTATGAGGAATTTATAACAAAACATAGTAAACACATTAAACGTATTTTATTGGTCTGACTTAACAGTTAACTAGTGTATAAATAAAATACMTTACTTAAGATTAATATTTATTTTAAAAATAAATCATTCCAACGTTCGTTTAATATTCATAAATAGCTACTGTTATAATGAACCTTGTATCACATTTTCAAGCTTTTAGAATGAGAGATAGATTTTTACCTACCTAGATCAAAAATGTCTATAATAGCTAAAAAGAGTTAAATTATGAGTTATACTTATGTTCCATAAAAATTCTTACTCAAACAATTGGTAAGAATGTTAAATAACCTTAGTTGTTTATAATTGAGTTAAAAATATTAAGAGAATGATTTTGTGTAAAAATTACCATTGTTCCTTATTTTTATTTAACTCTTCCCAATTATTAAAAATAGAACAGAAACTTTTACGTTTTGAGTTCAAAGTAACAGCTAACTTCACTTTTATTGCATAAACTATAGAAGTTGATTATTTCAGAATTAATACTTCTTCAAAAAGTGATGACAAAAAAACACACATCATTTTATAGTAAAGATATTCATTATTCTGTTATATCTAAAATTAAAACAATTTTAATTTACAACCTAAGTTTTAACCTTTAATATAATAAGGTATTTTACAAAACGCTGATTAAAAAATCGTAATATATGATATATTAATTTTAGTTAATTCTTGTAGGGTAAACAAATTATACAAATTAATACATAAAACTGAAAAATAGGGCAACAAGACATTTTTTCCAATTATTCACTCGTTTAACGGTATGAAGTTTTGTGCATATCTAGCATAATAATTGATGATTATAGGTAGGAAGCGAGGAAAAACAGACATAAATCATATAAGTATTATAGCCATATTGTTGTATCCTTAAAAAAAAAAAACAGTTTTGTGGTACATAAAATTGTATTATTGTACATCACTTTACAGGTTTATAAACACTTACTTAATTAACATTAGAATCACAATAATGTATTTATATTTAAATATATACATAATTACAAAGTTTTTGTTTTATATGAATTATAACCACATATAATGTTCTAACAGAATTTTTGGGTTGAAAATTTTATCACTGGCACATAAAATAAAATAACAAATTAAAACTATGAAACACCAATTGCATTCTAAAATGTAGAAATTAATTGAAAAAAGCAAATAATCAATTATGGTTATAAAAATAAAAATAACCCATTTATACATTCATCTAGCTGGATGAAATATAAAGATAACCGACAAAAAGTTTTCTTTTACAAATTCTCAAAAGAATCATAAGTTCTATAAATAACATAATGATATTATCATTATAACATAAATGTAAATTAATAAATCACATAATAGAAATACATTATACTCAGTTTTTTAATACAACACAATGCTTTCTAAGATTGACAATAAACATAAAAATATAATATGTACATATATTTGCAACTATTACTAGAATGAGATTAAAATAGAATATTGATTATCATGCAAAACGATTCATCAATATAGACAAATTAACATGTAAGTCTGCTTTATAAAATAATATACTAAATAGAATACTTAATTATTGTAGACAGAAAGACACAGGTTTATTTTTCCAGTAATCAGTATTATTCTTATGTACAATATATTTTAAGTTAATACAGCAAAATTACTATTAAGTGTCTATACTTTACGAAACATAATGCACGAAACATTTACTTTATAAAGTATTCAATAATAATAAATAATACATTATTATCATTATTATTTTTAACTGGTAACTTAAATAATGGGGTTCATTTCTTTTTTTGAATTTATTATAATCAATATTATTTCAATGAAGAAATTATGTATTCACAGATATATTATATTAAACAATAATAGGAACAAAAGCAATGAAAATTCATTAAAACACTTTACAAATAATATTAAATATTWATTAAAAATTTAGGGTTTCTTATCTATTTTTAAATTTAATTTGGTAGTATACAACTCTGATGTGACATAAATATATTATATCAAGGGTCAAAACATCAGTTCAGAAAATAAAAATTAACCCTGTGTGTCCTATATAATTATTACAAAGAATGTTGCAGGTTTTAAATACTTTTTTAAATATTTATGAATGGGTATATATTAAATATATATATTTTAAATTATAACTTGATTGTACGAATACAATATTATTTAAGAATTAAAAAAAAATCATATTTCATTAACGGAAGATTTAATTTATTTCAATGGTATTACTTAAATTTTAATTCAACACAAATAATTKAAATAAAATTAATTGCACATAATTAAATATAAGAATCTGCATGAAATAATAATTGTAATAAGTAAAAATTGTTCATTACATTTTATATATAAAATAAAAATGTATACACAGAATAAGGTAGTTATTTTTAAAGGACACTAATAAGGATAGTAATGAGAAATTATAAGAATAAATTAACATAAAATGTATTTTGTCAATATTTCGACTATAAAAATAAAATATATTCAAATACAAAAACTATTTAAGTTATGGACTACCTAGATTGAGAAGATTCTTCCTTTTTAGGTAGTTGCATATCTGGAGGCATTGATCGATGAGTATTAGGAGATGGGTCTTTTGGTCTTAAATGGGCTTGAGGATGGTAACCAAATAGTTTGGCTCTATGTTCTTCTTCTTCAGCTCTATAGGCGGCAGCAGCTATTAATGGACTAAACCTCAAAGAATCATATCTAAAATATATCAAATAAAAGACAAATATTTCTAATTAATTCAAGACTCAAAGTAAAAAGTTTGAATATGATAAGGCCAAATTGACACAATTTCTAACTGTCCTTGTGAATTGTTTTAAATGTTTAGTTAATAAAAAATACAGCAATACATACCTATATTGATCCCATGGTGAAAAATGTGTTGGTAGATGAGTAGCTCTTTGAGGATGTCTTGGAGGTGGAGGAAGGTAATGAGATGGAGGTGGTATACGACCCAACATCATGTTATTTAAATCTTCTTCTTTGGACATCAAATTAGGATCTTTAAGAGGTGATCGTTCTCTCATTTTAGYTACTTGCTGTTGTTGTTGCTGATGTTGATGTTGTAAATGTTGCTGTTGCTGTTGCTGTTGATGTTGAAGTTGTTGTTGATGTTGCTGCTGCTGTTGTTGATGTTGTTGTTGCTGCTGCTGTTGCTGTTGTTGTTGATGCTGCAATTGCTGCTGCTGAATCATGTGTCTTCTCTTTTCTTCTCGTTTCACTCTTTCTCGTTCTCGACCTCTTTCCCTTTCTTTTTCACGTTCTCTTTCACGTTCACGTTCACGCTCTCGCTCTCTTTCACGTTCTCGCTGTTGTTGTTCTACTCGTTCTGTTTCTACAGGATCTGGTTTTATAGGCCAACCTCCAGAAGGGCCATACATTGAATTTTGTGTAGGTAGTCCACGAGAAGGCTGTAACCTAGCCCATGGATCATTCATGGGATTGGGTGGGAATGAGGATATTGGTGGAAATCCTGCAGGATACCTTGTAAACATTGCTGCAGGACCTAAAATTTACATTGAATTGATTTTAAAATATATTTATTGACAATAAAAACAATAAAAACAATAAAAATTAATTACCCATAGGTGGATAGCCAGGAGGCAATCCTGGATGATGATGATGATGAGGCGATGTAAAAGGAGAGAGATCGTGAGGTGGTCGACTAGGTGGAAATAAATGTGTGGGTGGCCTTAATAATTCAGTCTTTGGCACCGGATTGTTTGCAACATTTTTGGTTTCTGCAACTTGTTGTTTTTGTTGATAATGGTAAATTTCCCACGCTAAACGCACATGCATTGCATTCCATTTTCCAGGTTTCTATAAATCAAAATATAATTATAAAAATTAAATAAAAGTTAGATTCAAGAGGTTATATTTACTTACACTTGACTTTGTAGGCTTAGATGTATCAGTCAACTGCTATAAAATAAATAAACATTGATTAATACCAAATGTAAAAATACAATAAAAACAGTTAAATTAATTAAAGATTAGTAAGTAATCAGTGTAGGATTTAGGACTTAAAGCACACAAAATAATAATAATAATAAAAAACTCTTAGAAACTTCATTATAAGCAATTAAAACGTCATGAAAATAAGCAAATTAGCAATTTTAAAATTAGGACTTCTTCGTATCAAATTTAAAAAAAAAAAACATCATAATATAAAGAACAACGAGACAAAGAGTTGACTATTTATATTTTATTATGTCAATCACACTGAGGATATTGGTATATTGCTCAAAATTATAAGAATTATTATCTTTTAGAAAATATAATTAGTAATTACCAATACAAAAGATACCAATATTAAATAGACAACTTAATTATTAATACAAGGTAATAGAACACAAAATCAACATTTTATTATAAACATACATCAGAAAAAAAGTTATAGAATAATAACATGGTTTTTTTTATCAATGTCTACCATCTGAGTCATCTCAAAGTGGAAAATATGCAAAAAAAAAAAAGGACTAGATAAAACTAGAAACAAGCATTTTTTTTTGTTCAATTGTAGTAAATAACGACATAAATTTCTATAACACTGCAAAATTTTAAGTCAAGCAAAAAAACATGTAAATGCTTTACGTTTCAAGCCCTATTGTAATTAGTAATTAGATAATTTACATTTTACTAAATAGAAGACATTTTTGAGAGAATAAAATACATTGACAATATTAATATTAAAATTAAATACATAATTTTGCTACATTATATTGGAGTTAGGAGAATCAATCAAAGATAAATAGATATACATTCAAAATTAATGGAAATATTTATTATTCTAGAATACTACATAGGGTTAAATCTATATTAAACACAATACATAAAGCAGTTTAAGTCATATGGCATTGCATAATTACTTTTGGTGTAAATGTCGGCATATGATTAGGTGGAGTAAATGGTGTGTGACCCATTGACGAATGTAATAGGCCTGGTGTAAATCCTGGATAGCTACCAGACAACAAATTCTGCCTATAAAATGGTGAATCAACTCCTCCCAATTTGGGTATATCTTTAAACTATAAATACATAAATATGTTTATTAATTATAACTATATATATTATTTTATATTTGTTTAATATTGCTAACCAGAGGAGGAGGGTATAACGCCGACGTTGGTGCTGGAGGTATTGTTGAAGCACTTGGAATAGTTGTAGCAGTTGCAGCTACAGCAGGGATTAGTGGTGTTGCTGTGTGTTGGTGAACATGGGTATGTTGATGCTGGTGATGGTGCATTTCTGTCCGTAAGTATGGTGCACCAACAGCCAAAGATCTTTCTTGTGATGATGCTAAAAACCTCGAGTCTAGTTCTCTCCTTAACATGTCAGCTTGATCTAAATCAAAATCATTTTAGAATCCTAAACACAAGTGATATTTTTTAATTTGACTTACTTGATTGAAATAAAGATTCAGCGGAAAAGGGATTATGAGCAGGTGGTGCTGATGGTAAAGAAGAAGATTGTGACGTAGCGGTAGATACTGGCGAAGAAAATAACGGAGGGGGGTATGATGATGGATGTTGTCGAGTAATATTTGCCATTGTAGATGTCGCAATACTGTTGTTTCTAAGAAAAGTATAATTTTTCATTATTTGTATCTAATAGTAGTTTATACTACTAAGTTATAAATTTGTGTACTTACCCCATTGGACCCCACAATGGTGGCTTATTATATACAAGACTAGAAGGTCCTGAAGATGAAACAGTAGGTGCTAATGTTGGAGTAGCGGCAGGAGGYAATACTAATGATGAAGTATTGAATGACGAAGGAGAATTTATCGGAGGGCCATTACTTCGGTTTAAACTATTAATATTACAGAATTAATTAATACATGTTAATTGGATAAAATGATTATAACAATATATCAAATTTACATATAACTATCACGATCTCTGTTTGGACTTGGTCCTCGTGGTGACTGCCCTCTACTTAACACAGCGTGTCCACTCAAAATTGACGTAGTAGTGGTAGTAGAAGTAGAAGCAGCAGCAACTGTTGGTGCAACAAGATGAGGTGCAGTCACAACACTTGATTTTGTTGATATCACAGACATTGGAGAAGTTCGACTTAATCTCTAAATTAGACAAATTTAAAAAAATTTTATCATAAAAATAAGTAATACAATTTATACATTTGGAGAAAAATATAAGTCTTAAATTATTTACTCTCATTAATCAAAACTAAAATAATAAAGTACTACCAAAACAATATAATTTTACCACCATTGTAGCAGTGTGTCAAAACGTAAATTAATATTCTATTTTAAATTCTGAGCGTTCCATTGAATGTAATAGCTCACAGAGATGTATAACCACTATGTAAGAATAGTAAAAAAAATCTTCAACTTTGATAGTGGTTAACAGTTTCTACAGTCTTCCATTTTTTATTGGATTTATATTAGACACTTTGATAGGAAAAATATAAAATAATAAGTGGAAAAAAACAATGCTAAACAAATTTTCGAGAAAATTGATTCACACAGAATCACACATTTTTTCATTATTTTATATTCTGAGCGGAGCCATGAATGCATCGATTTTCAACTTCAATAGGTTTTCCAGTTGAAAAATTAATCTAGTTGGTGCATTAGGAAGGTAAATTTTTGAAGTTCCCAGTAGTTTAAGAAAAAACAGGAATTTTTACGCAAAATCAAGTTTTAAGAAAGTCGAWTTTAGATTTAGGTGTAACTCTAAATTTCACTGAATGTTTATATAAGCATTTTCTATATTTTGATAAAATTTTCAAAATATTTTGATAAGTTTTGAGTTGTTTACTGACATTTAAATTTTTAAATTTTTTAAAATTTTTTTTTTCTATTAATGTCAATAAAATTTTATTGGTTGGGTCAAAAAGCTATAATACAAGGCTTCCAACATGTCATCCATTAGTGATCTAAATGACACCTGACACCTCATAACATATAACAGAGATGTATTCATTTTCCAACCATTTTAATTTTAAAATTAAAAGTATAATATGAAATTTCTCATGTTTTTTTTTTAATGGACTTGAGAAAAAGGTTTAGTTTAGTCACATAATTTTTATGGTCGTTTGAATAACATAACACGTGGTAAATCACGTAAATTTAAAAATTATTTTTTATATATAAATATTTTCTTCTATCTTTACTATCTTTATTTTATATTTTAATAATCGATGATTAACAATTAATACCAAGTTCTTAAGCCTTTAATTTGACCACATAGATAAAATATACCTTATAGATCCATGGGGTAGTCTTATAGACAATTACTTTCTAGACATTTAATGTTCTAATTTTGACAAAATTGTATACTTAAAAATAGCTATTATTTTCCTAAAAAATAATAAATACAAAAATTTGGAACTATTTGGCATACGTTATGCCAATAAACTTATTCACGTCGTTTTACGGTTAGCGTTAATACAGACCATGAGTTATGATATAATAAATTGTTAAGGCGTATCTTAAATTGAGATGSAGACTAATAATTCAATAACCATAATGTACCTATGATATAATATTATAATAATCAATAACTAATAATTGTATATAATATGCGATGTTTTTGTCAAAAAATAGTTATACACATAGTACGCCTCTGTCTCCTATAGAAAAATAAATTACTAATTACTTATATTATTAATATTTATAATAACTAGGTATACTAATATACTACATTTTATCTTTGGTATCTTTTGAACACAGAAATGTTAGAAAATAATTTAAKTAAGAAAACTAAATAGTATGTCATGCTAAAATTTTAACTTATGATTGATTTTCGTTTTAACCATTTTAATAAGAGCGTAAAAATATATAATTAAAATATGAAACTGATCAATATAGGCAATATAATAAAAAGTTTTAAAGCATCATAAAAGGTAATTTTAATTTTTAGAAGACAAATTTTAGATAATATAAATAAATAATTAGGTAAAAGGTAAAGGGTTTGTTAATACATACACGATTACACGAAGGAGTTTTTAAGTGTTTAACGATGGGAAATTAAAACTATAAGTTCGTGAAAACCCTAAAGTTTATATCGGACTGAGCAAAAGTCGATAAGCGGTGAGCTTTATGTACAAGGTRAGGGGAGAAGGACTCTGTTGTAGTAATTAAGGAGGTACCACCACCGCTGCCATCATGTAGTTTTATCATTAACCTTCTCTAGACTTCTCGTCGAAGCAGCCGAATGGAAAAATTAACATCCCCATATACCCTGTAGAGAGAAGGGAAACAGATAAAGTGGGAGGGAAAAGAGTGAAGCGAATAAATTCCGTGCAACGTTTCCCTTGGCTTCTTAATTACAAGCCCGTTTTCTGCTCCGTTGAAACTCTATTAATATTAATGATGCCGTTAAGTTTAACAGCAAAGCGATGGTCTATCTAACTATAATCAAAACTATAGCCAATGCATTTTCAAATAACAGTTAAATTATGAAAAAAAAAAACTTATTAATTAGTAATAATAATAATAACAATACACGTTTACGTTTACGTATAAAAAACGTTATTTTTAATAATGTGAAATATTATTTTCAATCAATTGTGTTGAATGTTGATTATTTTTAAGTCATACAAAAAATAATATTTTTAAATAATAACAATACTTACGGCTGCATTTGATAGCGCAGATGGCATATATGGTGTAYTTCTGTATGGAGCATACAACGGTGGATAATGTTGTTGATGTACAGGAGGTTGGTATGGAGAGCTAAAATTGTTTACTGGCGTTGTCATTGTTATCGGACTGCTGGATGTGCTAGGAATCGTCGAAGAAGCAGATACAGTCACTGTGGATGACTGGGGGGTAGAATATGGCATATATGCACTAGACACTGTAGCCAATAATGACGGGGTAGATTTATATGGACTAGGATGATAATTAGGCGAGGGATAAGGGGAACCGTGAGGTGGATGGTATATCATGTTTGGTTTTTGCACATAAGGAGAAGTATGTTGGTGAGGAGAAGGTGTTTGATTAGTAGATTTTGGGATGTAATTCGATGCAGCGTGGGATAAGACTGGATGTTGAGATGTTGAAGGAGTTATGTAAGAATTTGTTATGCTCAAAGACAATGGACACGCTTGAGGTGGTGTTTGGTATGGCGACGCACTCGTAGGCGGTACCGGATTTGTTGAAAAATTCCTAGGACTATTGAGTCCTGAAGATGGTACCTGTAAGTAATATTAAAACCATTATTTTAGTAAAATTTAACAATTATAACGAAAGTGAAATTGTCATTGAAAATTTAAAGCGAGAACCAATTTTTTCAGTAAAACGTTGAAAATAAATGAAAAATTGACACTCAACTAGCAAGATATAATATTATTTCATAATAATATAAACATTAAACTATTATTCATTAGTCATTACGAATCAATCATAAAATTAACGAAAGAATAAGTATTACATTATATAAATTTATATTTGTAATTACTGGTAGTAATTATGACAAAACCATATTATTAACTTCTGTTTGGTAACATTTCTTATAAGGCAATCATACTTATTTTATTTATTTATAAGTCACCGTAATGATAATTATTATGATGCACGTGTGAAACATGAAAATGATTCTTGAGTGTATACCTACATGGTTTTTTTCCAAACAAGTGCGATATTAGGCAGCTTAAAGCTGGTTTATTTCTTACAGAGAATACTGATGTGACGATGAACACGATAGTTTTAAGATGAACTCGTTTCCATGGCAATCCGGCTAATGTACCGGGGAGAGTACTGTATAAATGTCCCGCGATAATAATATAATAACAAAAAAAAAAAATCTTTGCCAATAATGGTATGTACTATAAAGGGAAACTTGAAACGAGTGTATGGAATACATAATGGATTTCAGAGTTTAAATACTATAGCCTATAAACTATCTGTTAATATGATTTACGGAATAAMATACAGTTCAAAATAGTGTTGTTTCTATGTTTATAAAAACAACTAAATTCTTTAATTTAGTGAGAAAATGATAATAAATACTTTCATTGAAGTATGAATATGGAATATACATAAAAAAGTAACMACATTTGATGAAACACATTAGTACATTATTCATCTTAAAATAATTATTGCTATTTTATTAAGCTGATAATAAATTAAAATGTAGTTAGGTTGCTAAGTCTACAGTWAAATGGGTAGAACTATTTTCAAAAAAATAACTAGAGAAATCATAAAAGGATAAAAAATTCTGAAAAAATAAAATAAAATAGGTAGATAAAACTATATCTCATCGTTACTATTGGTACATCACTCAACAATTCTGATTTATTTTACTAACACAATGTTATCTCCAATAATGATTATTAAGAAGTTTATTGGCTCATCATTATCAACAGATCTTTAACACAATACCTTCAGTATTATCAATTATTTGTAGAGGTTATTACGGTTACGGGATACAGTAATAACGACCTAGTATAAGAGGATAAGGGTATTAAATTTTGATTTATTTTGTTAAACYCCTTTCCCCTCCATTGAAAAATCTCGGGTAGCCATTGCTTCAGTGTATTTTTTTTAATAGATTTATGTATTATTATTTTTATGGATATTGTTTAATACTATTTTAGCTTTATCAACACTTAATTTTTGACATATTTTATTTAATTAGGATGTATTCCACCAAATGTGTGAATTAAGTATTTTTAAAAATGTTATTAATTATTKGTCACGATAAGGATATTATTGACAACATTACGARAGACAGGTACAATATATTATTATTAGCAATGAAATAACATTTTGAGAACACTGGATATTGTTCTAGGAAAATAAATCGGATGTTATAACCGATATAAATATAATACAGTTTTAATCTATTTTATTTTATATTATACTTAATAAACTTAATAAATAATTAACTCTTCAAATATATCATTTTTTTCATCCGACATTTTTATACATATTTATCTTATAGTTATTTCTGCGTAATCAGAAAAGAGATATATAAAAATGTTAAGTAGGTACCTATTATTTGAAAAAATAATGTACGAAAATGGAAACTCACATTTTATTAGCTAGATACTAAATATAATTTGAACTATTGTACATTAAAACGCATGATAATTTTACTTACTGGGGAATACCTCGATGTTACTGTAGCAGGAGTCGTCGAAAGTTCATGTCCATTCACACGTGTACTTTGCGGTTTAGGTGTAGTAGGTGGCGTGGATGGTGGAGGTATAGTAGGAGATGGACATTTTGGTTGAGACACCTGTAGAGCTTGAGGAGTAGTTGAAGGAGGTGGTAACATGGAATTTTGTGAGGGCCTTATATGAGTCGTAGATGCTGTTGTTGTTTCAGACGTCGAATGATTATCAAACTCTATACCATTAACTAATGGAGGAGTAGGTTGACGACCGGGTGGTGTTATTGATATAGGTTCTTTAGAAACCGTAGCAGGTAAATTCTGGGTAGGTTCAGAAGAAATTCTTCCTGGTAATTCATCTAGAAAGATTTTAGTTATATAAAGGTTAATTCATTAAAACRATATAATTTTTAAATAAATTCATTTTTTAATAGTGAGAAATTATAAAAAAATCACCACTTAATTATTATTAATAAATGCATTATTAATACTATTAACATTCAGAAGAAATATTTTTTATTATATAAATTTATCCATATATAAAAATTACATAACATTTGAATTTTAACATTTGTTCAACATCATACAATAGATCAGTAACTACAGGAGACCAGAAGAAAAAATAATAGCAAACAATTTAAAAGTTGTAAAAATGAAAAATTCAATAAAATAAACACCATTAAAACATTTTAGAGACTGCTTACCTTTTCTAGAAACCAAACTGGTCCTGAAGAGATCAGAATTATCTGAACCCTGAAACAATAAAAATAAAATAAAACTTATATTATTTCATCTAGTTTGTTTTCTGTGCTCAATAAAATGTTATTACCATTATTATTATTATTATATTTTCTAAAAGCTATAATTTGACCTACTATATTTTTAATAACCCCCGAGTTTTACAACCATGGATCTTAAAAAAAAAACATATAAGCATTGTGTGATAGTCGAGTTAACGATTCACTACAACGATCGTTAAGTATATTTAAATGCAGTCGAGCTATTCGAATTCATTGACATTAAAACCATGTCATTTTTAGAGATTAGTATAGTTGGATTGTGATAATTTGACGGTAAACAAGAATCTAAACATTTCACCTGAACTAAAATTTAAATTATTAAACTACTCAAATTTTTGTACAAATACGTCCAAACCTAATTCACACCAGATCTTTTAATTAATTTGAATTTTATCAAATCACATAAAAATAAAACTTGACCCTTGATATGATTAAGCTATAAATAATTAATTCTGCAATGGTTTTTATCAAACTAATATTTTTCTTCTGACACGTACAACAAATTCCGTCCATCCACTATAATGACGTAAAATAACCGATATATTTAATTTAAAAGTAAAATAAAATGTATTCTTAAAATCCTTTTATATTTTACCGTATTCTCCTACATAAATAAGATGTATGAAAAGCGATAAATAAAAATAAGATTCTTATACACGAATAAAAAAAACAAAAATTAATGTTGTAAATATTTAATTCAAGGTCCGTCACTGTCGATCTATTCACAAATTTATATTTAAAATTGTGCACGGGATAAAGTAAAAACGTCAAGTGCTACACTCAACATAAATATCGATATGCTATATTATGATGATCGAGCATATTTTATTAACTAACATCCATATAGTAACAGTTTATTTAACGTATCAAGTATATTTTAATATTTCCCACTTTTTTTTTATTTACAGATAATATTTCGTGTACATAAATACGCGTTAAACAAGGTCATAGGTAATATAGATAATGGAAAATTAGTTACAATAACTTGTAAACGCGTACAAATATTATATTAATTATTTATATTGATTAGAAGTTGAAACATAAGATTATTTTCCTAGACAAAGAATATGTGCTTATTATTCGAGGTGAGAAATATATATATATATGTATATATATTACTTATCTAATATTTATATACAATTAATTAATATTTCATAACTACTATTTTGGCATGTTCGTTTTAGATTTAGGTACGTATTATGATCTTAATTAACTCAATATCATTATCAATTGGGAGAATTGATACAGACTATGTTGATAATAAAATATAATTAAACGAAAGCTACTTCCCTCAAAACGTTTTTCTTCTCTCCGTAATACGAATGGGATAAGTRAAAAATGGAATAAAATATATCTATATAAAAAGCTAAAAAAATAAGAAGTCATTACTATCGGCTATACAAACTAAGTAATATTTCTGTGGTAATATCGTAATTTCTTATATAAAGGAATTTGATTCACAATAAAGAACGTAATGTGGAACCGTTACCGTAGTCACCAACCGTCTAGTACCAAGGGGGTAGCATAAAAAATCACTACTAGGGGTATACATGTATCACGGACATATCATAAGAGGAAAAGATGCAAAAAGCTGTGTAAGCACTAAAATGTCTCATGTCAAAATGTTACATCATATACGAAAAAGTATTAATAATGTAAAAGTGGAGTGTTGTTTCACACGCKCACACTTGTTCCCCTAAATAGATTAAGTTTAAGCATTATTATAATATTATAAATTATCGATAAACGAATATTAAAGAAGAAAGATTTTCGAGTACAATAATTAATGTACCTATGCTATATTATTGCATCATGAGACCGATCATGACGACACAACAATAAAACGCATACAGCATCAGATACAGATGGACGATATTTACCAGCCGGTTGTTGCAACAAGATCTGTCCACGGTCATAGTGGTTGCGGAGATGATACTGTGTTCAAAAGGCGGCATATTTCAAAAGGAGCATGGCCATGGACGGGCGGGTGTTTATGTCGGACGACGAATCACAATACACGTCGGGCGTTTCCGTGTCGATTAGAATATAAATCGTGTCAACGATCGATCGAAATCACGGCCAACTAATATTTTTAATATTTTATAAATAGGCGGGAAAAAAACGAAAAGCATAGGAACACGCACTGCAGACGAACACGTGGGCGTGAATCAGATTCCGGTGACGACCGCAACTGAGTGGCAGACCGTAAACACATAMGTAAACGACGGCGCATACGCCAAGCTCACTAAGTGACTACTGACGTGACTCGTGGCTTGGTGCTAAGGTAGCAGCCAACATGCCACCCGCCGTATTCTTGTAGACGTGACGGCTGTGGTCGGGAAGGGAAAACGCGATACGACGCGCACGCGTCTCTTTTCAAACATACACTGCCGTCTGATTACCGCCGTTCACCATCACTTGTACTTCCCCCTAGGGTCGTAAAAACTTTGCTGGACTTGCGCACGAGTGTGCGCTTGGAAAGTGGAAAAATATGGGAGAAAATTCCTGCTCGTCTGCCGCAAGAGAAGAAGTATAGTAACCAGCAATCGTGCTATATAGTACCTATATATATATATATTTATAAATACAACAATATTTCCTCGTCCCTTTTTTTATTTAAAAAATATCGACCGGTGCTTTCGRTGTCATCGAATAGAAAAAAAACACGATGATAATATTACAGAGCTTTAGGCACTCTGTTTTTTAAACGATTGTGGCTCGCGATTATCATCGACGTGTGACATCGATCGTGTCTACGGTACGAAATATACGCAATGTTTATACACCTAGAAGTTTGAGGGTTGGAAAAGCTCAGACGACGGAGATGAGCAATAAAAAATTCAATATATTCAAAAGCAGCAAAGTACGCACATATAATATTCATACATATTATATATACCTATATATAAGTATATACAGGAACTAAAGAGGTGCCATGGGTGTGTGGGATGATTTTTATTTGCTCCCGCAGTGTTAAAACTTATAATAAATATTCATGTCGCTACCACTGTAAAGCGATGTCGAAAAGCCCATTATTATTATTTGCAGAAAGAAAAACATCAACGAAGATTTTACCTCCCTCCCTCCATTAAAGATAACTTTCAGACTTTTGTGTGTGCGCCCAGGGGAATAGAGGGTTTTCTCACTGGGAACAAATCGACGAAAATAAAAATTAAATGGATACAGAAGAGAATTGGGGAGACAGTGCAAAAAGGTCCCAGGCTGACAAGTTTTTACGGCCGTTTTTCTGATTCTCTTCTAAATGGCGACGTAGAGAAAATAATATAATATTTTAGGTACAGTTTTTATTACTAAAATAAATAAGATTACAAGAAACAAAATGAACTCAAGAAATGTTAATAAAGATTATGAACAAAGATTACCGACAAAATCCTCGACGATTTTCACATTATTTAAGACTACAAAAACAATATTGTACTATAAAAAAGTGACGACTACGTATCAATTATACTAATTATAATATACTTAATAAATCTGTAATATCAAAGCTGGGGCTAAACATGACGTATTACAYTGAACAGCTACAAGTCGTATCCRTCAACTTATTCTGCTGTGTAAATAATACACAAAATTGTATAAAAGCGGCGTTTTCTGTTTTCCTAACCTGTATAGTCTATCCAATTTAATAAATAACATGTGTTACTTATTATACAATTTGGAGTTGACGTTACTATTTTTACTATTATTAYTTCGGGGAACATTAAAACGCGGGTTCGTTGATGTTTTTCAACGAGAAAAATCAATCATCAGATCTGTTGTGTATGGCCATTCAGATACAAAACAATATGAATATTAAATATTAAATTTGACGGAAACATCAAGGTTTGAAATGTGACGCACAACACCGCGAATAGCCTTAACTTAAAATAAAATCCTTTTATCTATTTGATAAGCATAATTGAAAATTATCAAAATAGCCACCGTATTTATACCAAACTATGTATGTTTAACTTTTGAAACTATGGTGGATTTGGTTTTATAAAAATTATTTTGGTTTTCAAGATTATAAGAATTATTAACGTCTAATGACACTCAATTTTAATCAWTCATCTAATATTCACTCGTCGTAAATACAATTTTTTTAGCCTTGAMGACAACTTTCTTTTTATGATTTACCAAGGTTTGAAAACAACGTTAAAAATCAATACAATTCAAATTCATTTATAATTATAATACMTAGGAATAAAAAATATAATTAACATAAAATTAAATCAAAATCGGACCATGATAGAAGGTATAGTATAGACCTCATGTGGCACACATTGTAATCTTAGATGGCCCGCGATTTAAATTTATAATTTGTATGGCTGTTATTTACATCAACGAGGTTTTCTTTGGGTATTAACTATAACTATTTAATATTATATATATATATAAAACAGAATTTGCATGTGCATCGGTCAATTCACACCCTCTAACTCGGCAGGTAAGACAGATATTATAATAGACAGAGTAGGTCTATGAGTATAATAATAGGATATATGCCGTCAAAGAAATTATAACTAAAAACGAAATTGAAATTATAAATTTCCATATTTTATAAATTGAATTAATTACCTATAATAGGTCTTATATTATATTAAAATTAATTATTCAACAACAGTAATAATTAAAAAAATCTTACCTTATCACCCTCGTCTTCACTATCACACTAAAAATAGAATAAAAACGTACAATTAGCACACAATTGAAAATAATATACTTCCAATAAAAAAATACATATTTCTGCGATATAAGAAATAATATTCATAATTGATACTTCGATTTATATAATATAACAAGAGCTTATCCGCATTATTAACATGATTTTTTTTTAATGTTGCTAAACGTAAATTTTCAATTAGACTGTTTGCATTATCATTAAAATATTTTACAGTCAACTAGAAGAATCATGTAAAAGTAAATGGAAATTTCAAATGTATAGTGTTGTCTTACACACACAGCAGACGGAATAACATACGAAATTTAAGATCCATATTTCATGTCTTTATGTTTAATATATAAATAGTGCAATGATTATTATAGCAACGTTATTCGAGCTCTATCGTTGGACTTCGATACACAAAATTTAAATATTAAAGCGAGTTATAAATATTTTAAAATTGTTATGTTGTATTAATTACTTAGCTCWGTTTGCTTAATTTGCAGTGTTCCTCAACCTGGGGGTCAAGTATGATTAAAATATTTAAAACACAAAAAGTATACAGGGTGTCCCAAAATGATTCATCCGATTTCAAAAAATAATATTGATTGTGAATTTTAGTACTTACAAATTAGGAAAAGTTTAAAAGGTTAAAAYTGACATTAAGTTTATGATACAATATTCATAAAATGTTCAATGTGCCCTACATTACTTGCAGGCACACATCTAATCAATAATCAAATTCTTCATAAACTTATTGAAACAYATCGATCGTGATTAAGTTTATGGCGTATATAATGCGACTTTCCAGTTCTTCGAGATCTTTCGGAAGAGGAAGTGCATAAATGCCATCTTTAATGTACTTGAAAAGAAAAAAATCATAAAATGAAAGGTTTGGAGAACGAYGTGGCSAAGAACTAAGTGCTGCATCGTTTAGTGCCGCAACGTCCGATCGTGTTCGGTCGATATTTTGACAACTAATCGAAGCGTACCATTTAGTCCTGATGAGTTCTACGCAACTTATCAGTAGTCAAAAACAACTCGAGAATCCCCCTCCTCCCCATTAAGATGGTTAGTATTTCATTTGATACAAAMAACGAGTTCAATATTTATAGCTTACTAAAAATTTATTAAAATTAATCTATATTCTATGTSAGTAGGTAAATAAAAAAAAATATATGTAGGAAGGTCGCTAAAAAATTGGAATTCAAAAAGGGGGTAACCATCAGTAAAAAGGTTGAGAAACACTGCTATAACGTAGTATAACTTATAAGTGTATATACAAGTACTTGTATATAGATAACAAATACGTGTGCAACGATCTTCGTATAGAAGATGTTACAAATTACAATCAACGCATTCGATTGTCAAATGAATAACATGGCAAATTTGCTTAAACAGTTCCAATTGTAAGTAGTAAGCATTAAGAGTATTAGAGTATTAGTTATTAGTATATTGAATATTGATGTATTAAAGCTAATTGACCTAGACTAAAACTTAAAGGTAATAACTTAATCCATATTCTTTAATTGGATTTAAGCAACATTTTAACTTCTAAAATTATACATACTCATATTTTACAAAAAAATTTAAAACTATTGTTAAAAAAAAGATTGAACAGTGTTCAATGAACACAGATAATGAGCTGGCCTTAAGTTTGATAAAAGGTCAGTTTTCTGAAATATTAAAACTACCTAGAAACACTTTTAAATATAATATTTGGTATCGTGTACTGTGTACTACAGTTATATGTTTATTGGATGGAATACGTATTATACTGAAAGATTTGCCATTTCGAATACAATAAATCTTAATCAAATGGTAACTTTAAGCAGCGTGGAAAAAATAATTAAAATTTATTCAGACAACCAATTATTATTTCTAAAAGTAGTTAAATATAAAAATACAAACATAGGCACAAAACTGTAAAAGTAAAAGAAAGGCCAAAATGATATCAATAATAAATAAATCTTCGTTTTTTTTTATTTCTTATATATATCTTCATATAAATGTATTGATTTTACAATGTTGTGTGTTTTTTTTTCGTGTATCAGTGTACACGACCAGTTGTCGAGATAAAGCTTCGATTATCAACTTCAGTATCTTTTCCAGAAATTTTCAAAAGCACCGGGAAAAAAAATTAAGGAAAAACAGGAATTTTTTACGCAAAATAAATGTTTGAGAAAATCAAATATTTTGATATTGGTGTAACTCTAAAACAAATTACCGTAGACAAATGAAATTTTCACTGAACATTTATACAGGCATAAACATAAGGCTCCTAATAWATTGTTTAAACAACATTTAAAAAATATTAAAAATACACTGTCAACATTTTTTAAAATAAACATTTAACTTCGAATTTCGATAAAATATACGTAAAAATCACGAAAATTTGTGATTTATTTGGAGTTAGAATTTTATAAAAATTTATCTTTTTAAATTTAAGGTTTGAAAGTTCAAWACAAGATTCTTCATAAGTTTATCTACTTTTATTAAACAAAAAATGTCTACCGAAAGTCAAATTAAATTTTTATAAACATTTGAATTACAACATTGGATATTCACTCAATTTCTCATGTATACCGGATATTCTTATT